CGCAGGAGTGGGGAGACCGGTCTCACCCACACGCACGAGATCACAAGTTCGCCACGGCTGATCGAGAGTGAACCATCGCTCGTTCATCTGGTACCGACCCAGTGCTATGTTTGCCAGCACACACCTCCCCAGGAGTTGGGGACGGGTCTGCCAGCGCAAGGGGAATACAGAGCAGGGACAGCACCAGAGCCTGCAGCGCCACAGACGACGCAGGCGACACACCAGATCCCGCTTTCAGCCAGGCGAATGCACACCATGTGACTGCCCCCCCGCCAGCGCCACACGACTGCAGGCAAGGTCAGCCTGCAGCAACGACATGGGCGTGCTGGGCGGTGGGGGCTGCAGAACAACAAAGCGAGTCGCGTGAGGTTTCACAACTCGCTTGCCGATCGGGATATGAGTCCTGAGCTCTGGAGCGAGGCGAGAGTTTTCCAGCGCTTGCTCAGCAGACTCGTCGGCCAGGTGTTTGCCAGTTTTGTGGAAGGGCTCGGCCTTTTTGGCATCGACAGCGGCGAGTGTGGCGTGATCTTTAACCTTAACCAACCGGATAGCCTCCACTCCCCCCCACAGTCCTCGATCTTTTGCCACACCATGCACCAAATTCCTGCCCAAGGAGATCTGGAAGCACACGTCTTGGCGGGGCATCTCTCAAACACTCCGTCCACGGCGTATCTTGAGTCACTGCAAAAGATCGTGCCAGGGAGAGAGAAGCTTAAGCCCTGCAGGAAGGCACAAAGTTCGAGACAGTCCATGTCCGCCGGAGGGTGCTGTAAAGGAGCCTGGGTAGATGGCGTCGGCCTTGCAATTGGTTCCTGGAACCTGGACGTCATTGCTGGGCCGCGGGCAAAAAGGGGTCCCGCAGGCTGCCGTCCAGCAAGGCGTGGCCCTGCAAGAAGCCGCCCCCGAGGAGCAGGAGTCCTGCAGACCTAGAAGCACGGGAGGGGGCAGCAAGCGGCACCAGCAGCCGCTCGTCGAGGAGGCGAGGTAGGGGGCGTTCGCATGCTTGAGCAAGCTTGGCCGCAGAGTCGGGCGGGGAGGCTTCACACGCTTCCTCCTGACATGTGCACGAGAGGTGCCCGTGCTGGAGAGCGCCGTGAGCTTCGAAGCACGCCTGGCACCCCCAGGAGCTCGGAAACTGGAGGTCGTAGTGCCTCTGCTGCGGCCACTGCCCTCTTGAAATTGCACTGCGAAGGTGCGCAGCCCCCTGAGCCGAGGCCTTCTTGCTGCGAGTGGCCTGGCGAAGGGGGTGCAGCAAAGCTCCTTGCTCAAACCCGGGACATGTCAAGTGGTCCGCAACCCGCTTCCACACCCAGGAGCCCACGACCCGATCCACAATCCACCCCACAGTGCGAGGCGAGAGGTCGAGAGGAGAGAGGGAACCAACTTGGGGATGCGACCATTGGAGCCCTTGCATATGAATGCCAAGCCTGAGCTCAGTGGCAACGCACGCACTAAAGGGTCCACGGATGTTCTGCTACGGCGAACTGCGGTCACACAATTTCTTCCAGGCGTTCTGAATGCCCCCTTGGAGAATCGAGACAGGAAGCCAGGAGTCCCAGACCGGCGACAAGAGGGCCAGCAACGGGTCCTTGCAAAGTTTGTAGAGAGCCTCCTCCTCCTCGTCCTCCTCCTCCTTTTCATCGTCCTCCTCCTCCTCTTCCTCCTCCTTCTCCCCCTCCTCCTCTCTCTCCCTCTCTCACTCCTCCACTGGAGGTCTCCAGAGCTTACCCGGGGCAGCTTCCGAGTGGTATCCCATTGGTATCATCATAGTTGTTCGACGTCCCTCGTTTGCCCAGGGCCCAAGCGAGCGGCGAACCAAATCATTAATGTTAAGTCTTATTTCCAACCATCCTGTGGTGTTGAGTCCTCGTTTTGAAGAGAAAGCGTCCTGCGTTATCTCCTCCCCTCTCTTCCTCCATCCCCTCCTTCCCTCCTTCCCTGACTCGGAGAGGCTTGCCTATGATAGCGAACTGCTCAACCGGCTGAGGGCCTTGTATTTGAAGGACATCGATGATGACTTTCAAGTAGCACCAGATTTTGCGTAGACCAAGAAGATCTCTTCCCGTCAGAGAGCAGATCCAGAGTTGGCCAGATTCACCGCTGAAGCACGTGATGACGATATGCAGCTGAATTTGGAGGTTCCTACTCCAGCTCCGATTCCAGCTCCTGAAGGTTCCCTTCCCCCCGCCCCTGAGGCCATGGACGAGCAAGAATTGGTTGATGCTCATGGGTTTCTAGGCCCCACTCCTCTGTCCACCCCTCCTCCGCCGCCGCCGCCGCTGCCCCTCCTCCTTCTCGCCCGCATCGCGGCGAATAGGAAGGTGGCGAGCCAGCGCTGGGAGGCCAAAGCTGCTCAATGAGCAGCTGAGGACACCCGCGCCCGCGCGGCCGCCCAAGCGGCCCGTGCCCCGCGGGGGGCCCTCCTTTTCTCGTTCCCACTTCTTCCAGCCACCCTTGGGGGTAGAGCGGCTTCAGCTGACCACGGCACTCGTCGCCCACGGCATCGTCCCACCACCTTCCTTCCCTCCTCCCATCCCAGTGGCGCCGTACGCAAGGGTCCGCGCCGCCCATATCGGCGCGCCCCTCGCACGCTTCTTGGCCCCAGAGGGAGCTCCACCTAAGGTCGCAGTGCCTGCGGCCGCCTGCGTCTCCGCCACATATTTCGACACACCTCACACGCTTCGTGGCCCCATCGGGAGCTCCACCTAAGGCCCCAGCAGCTGCTGCAGCATGCGTCCCTGCCACCCATTTCGGCATTCCGCTCACACGCTTCGTGGCCCCATAGGGAGCACCACCTAATGCCTCGATTTCTGCCGTCGCGCGCGTCCCCACCACCCATGTCGGCAAACCCCGCACACGGCTCGCGGCCTAGAGAGCCCCACCGAATGCCCCAGTCGTTGTGGCCGCATGCGTTCCCGCCACCCGTTTCGGCGCACCCCGCACACGCGTCGCGGCACCATAGGGAGCTCCACCTAAGGCCCCAGTGGCTGCGGCCGCATGCGTCCCTGCCACCCACTCCACCGTCACGGCACGCCCCTCGCGCGTTCCGCGGCGCCATAGCGAGCTCCACCGAAGACAATTCTCTCAACCGCAGTACTCGCAACTGCGTATGGTTGGGTCTTCCGCCCGGAGAATTGCACGCGCTAACAACATCGCAGGAGGGGGGCCGTTGGAAATGATTTTTCACGGTTCGCGTAGCCCCACCAGCCCGTCCAGAAACGATGCCCAGGCGAGTTGCGCTGACCCGGGATGTGGAGGAGCATGCAGTGACATAAAGGGTAGGGAAAGCCGTCATACCCCAGAAGGGGAGGATGGAGGAGGAGAAGGGGGAGGGGGGGGGGAGAAGGGAGAAGGGAGGAGGGAGCAGGAGGAGCACGCGGAGAAGGAGGAGGAGGAGGAGGAAAAAGAGGAGGAGAAGGAGGAGGAGGAGGGCGAGCAGAATGGCCAGAGGCCTATCGGTTGCTTCTCGGAGTGTCTTCGGATGTCTCTTGAGAGCTTCTTGGAGTTCTCTTGGGGCGTCTTGGGCGCCTCCTGGCGGCCTCGTGGGCCTCTTAGAGCGTTTTGGGTGCATCGGGGGAGCCTCGTGGGTGTCTCTTGCGAGCTCCTCTGGAACCTTTTGGGGGCCTCTTGAGGCCTCCTGGGCGCATCTCGGGGCCCTCGTGGGGCACTCTTGGGAGCCTTGGGGAACGTTTGGGGGTCATCCTGGAGGAGTTCATCAAAGACGGGGGGGTCCCAAATCACCCTCCCACCCACCCCCCAGGAATTCAAAATTGGCCCAGCACTTCAGGAGCATCGGTTGCTTGTGCCTTCCACTTGAGGTCATCTTGGACTCTCCAAGAGGTCGCGGCCACCCCCCACGTCCATGGGAGGGGGCCAGGGGAGGGGTCAAGCTACCCACAAGCAACAAGCCGTCTCGCTCATTCCGACCTGCCCTTCCAACACATGAGGAGCACCCGAGTCTCAGCATGGACAGAGGCCGCCATCGACGACCATCCACTCGGTGTGCGAAGCCCTCGAGGTACACCGTACATGCCAGCTGCGCCACGCGCACCAGGTGCGCCACATTGGGCAGTCTGTCGACCCTCCCACCGCCCTGTCAAAAACCCATGCAACGTGACGGCGGGGCTGTTGTGCGCGGGTGTGCACACACGATCGCTTTGCATTTCTTTGGTGGACCTGCGCAAGGCAGGCAGCATGTCGTCCCCCCACCGCCCGCCGTCCTTGGCAAAATGGGCCGGTCGTTCCCCCCTTTTTGAAGGGGATGGTAGGCCTGCACACAGCAGGCAGTATGCCAGCCCACCGCCGCCATCCTTGCCAAAAACCAACACAGTGTGAGCACGAGGCGTCCGCGCAGGATCCATAGTATAGTGCACAGTGCACTGTGCATTATTTTTGTTGCGCGAGGTGGCTTGGGGGTGTTGGCATGTAACACAGCCGGCAATATGTTGCCTCCCCCCCGCCGTCCCTGTGAAAAGCCATTGCGACGTGATCGCGGAGCGTCCGCGCATAATCCAGATGTTGGTGAAAAGTACACGTTGCATTGCTTGTCAAGGGATGGCCAGGGATGGTGAGGGGTGTTGGCCTGCGCGCAGCAAGCAATATGCCCACACACCCGCCGTCGCACCCCCACCGCCCTTGTCAACAGCCAATGCGGAGTGGTCGCGGGGCGCTCGTGCATGCTCCAGGTGTGGAGGCAAAGCGTGTATTGTGATGTTTTTGTGACAGGGATGGTGGGGGGGAACATTCCGGGTGTTGCCTATATCCAGGGATGATTTTCTGATAGAGAACAGTGGCCAACCGTTCCCGAGGGGGAAGACGGGGGGGTTGAAGAGGAAACGCCTCAAACCACTCACGCCCAGAGGACGGGTCGGATTATCTAGTTTACTTCTGGTGCTAATGATATCGCCAGGGGAGGGTGCCGTTTGTCTCCTAGGTCTTACCCCGTTAGAGATTAGGAGTTATCAACCCCACCCCTCAGAAGAAGCTTGAGGTTGTGGTCCATGCTGTCGCCCGCTGCTCCAGCGCAGTGCGTCGACCAGATCCGTTTGGCGAGGTTCCAGGTCCGGCAGCCTCGTAGTGGCGCAGACTATGCGGGACCCGTGGCACGCCAGCGACGCGCGAGGAGGATGCGGCAATGTTGGCACTCAGGCGCTTGAGCTGCTGCATTCTTGACGCTTCGTGTACCCCCACCAGTTACGGCCAATTATCTTCGTTTCGCGCCCCGTTCGTTGCCCCGCTTCTTGACCTTCGCCAGGGAGCCGCCGACCAAAAAAGTGTATCCCCACCAGCGCCTTCTCCTCTAGCCCCCCTGGCCTGGCGCCGTGCTGCTGCCCATAGGGGCCGGCTCGCGGTCGTCTGGGCCTACCACGTGCACTGTCTGGTGGATTTGTGGGTGTTGAGAACGCCACGGAGTGGTTCAACCTTTCGCAGCAGCAGCAGCACCCCGGGCTCATCCCCCCCGCTCCTGGCAGGTCGCGTCGTTCCACGTTCCTCGGCAGCTCATCTCCCCTAGCCAGCACACGTCGCTGGGACGGTTGGAGCCTGGCGCCTCACTGGCGACTCGCTCCTCGGGCTTCGCGCCTGCCCCCACTCAGAATGGCGGACACGTTTGCTCCAGTGCACGTCACGTCGCTGTGTGGGTCATGCCTCACGGCAGGCATCGAATTCCTCGACATTTTGTCCACTGCACGTGCCCGAGCTTCCCAGGATGCCCCCTGCCGTCAGCTCCCCTTCAGCCACGCGGCTGCTTTCTGAGTGGGCCAGCCGGCGTGCGGCGCGTCTTGTAGCTAATTAGGCTTGCCCGTTGGCCCAGACACCCTGCTCGCCGCCTGCCTTTTCGCTCGCGGCCGCGACCAAAACAGTATCCCCACCAGCCCATCCAGAAGCAGATCGTCAGGCCAGGTGCCTTGATCAGGGAAGTGCAGAAGAGTACAGTGCAACAACCGCCTTGGAAGCGTATTCTCGGAGGTCTTTTGGAGCCATCTTGCGGTTCTCTTGGCGTATTCGTTGAGCCTCTTGGGGCATGATTGAGGCCCTCTTGGGGCTCTCTCGGGGCCTAGGGGCCCTCTTGGGGCTGGTGGGGGGGTCTGGGGGAATTCTTGGGGCCATCGTGGCCCCCCATGATTCTAAAGAGGGGGTCGGAAATTCAGCCCCCCCCCCCTCCTGAGAGCCTCAATAATTTCGTCTTGGGGCCCTCTTGGGGCGCTCTTGGGGCGCTCTTGGGCGCTCTCGGGACTGTCTTGGAGCTTTCTTGAGCCCCTCTTGGGGCTCTATTGGGCCGTCTTGGGGCCATCGTGAGGCCGCAAAATGCCATCGGAAGTGAAAAGGCGAGAAGGTATGAAACATTGATGGCTCTTAGGTTGTGGAGCCATTTGGGCCTCTCGGTGGGGTCCTTGGGGGGCTCGGAGGGCACTTGAAACCGTCTGGGGGTTCGTCTTGAGGCCTCTTAGATGTGTGTGTGTGTGTGTGTCGGATGTTATGTTGACCCATCTTGAGCTATCTGGAGCAATCTTGGATGCCATCTTGCGCTTTCAGATGCCCTCTTGGAGCAATCTTGGGCCATCTTGGACGCTCTAACCCCTCGCGGGGAGCCCCTTCTTCCAGGCCCAGTGGAGGGGGTAGGGGAAGGTGTGAACCCCTCCCCCGAGCAGGGGAAGGAGGGAGCTTTGGCAGAGAAAAGCCAAAACTCGTTGAACCACCTACGCCCAGAGGGCTGGTGGAACTCCTGCACGCAACAAAACTGATCCCAAGCCGACTTATGAAGAACCGCTCGACTGGTTCATGAGAAGCCGTTCGGTCGCGCCACAGCGAGCACGCATACAAAGAAAGGAGCATGGTTCGTCCTTCGCCTCCTCCTCCTCCTCATCATCATCATCATCATCATCATCATCATCATCATCAAGCGCCTCCTCCTCCTTTTCCTCCCCCCACTCGCGTCCCCCACCGCCTGCACCCCTCTCTTCTCTCTCCTCCTCCCCCTTCTCCACCTGCTCATCCTGCCCTTCATCACCCACTTGGTTGTCCACATAATGCTCCTAGTCATCCGCATGTCGCCCTCGCCCCGCACCCCCGCTCCTTCACTCTCCTCACCTCGAGGAAGAGGGGGAGAAGGAGGAGGAGGAGGACGAGGAGAAGGAGAAGGAGGAGGAGGAGGAGCAGGAGGAGTAGAGACAGGACAAGGAGGGGTCGGCGACGGGATGGAACCACGCCGGAACGGCCTCCAAGAAGGCCGCAAGCAGGCCGTGACCAGGAGAACACCGTCGATTAGCAGCCATGGGGATTGCCAAAGGACAGCGAACCCAAACGCACACGTGCATTATTACGCGCATTCGGGTGTCTCTTGTGGCATTGTGGGGGCCTGCGGTACTCAGAGGTCTCGACCTGGAGCTAGGTTTTGCCTCCTCAGGGCCCTCCGAGCGCCTTCTTGGGGCGTGCCTGAGCTTGTTACGTTTAACGTGATTCGATGCGGTTCTGGTGCGCCTGAACGTTTCTCGACTTGTTTTGGGCCCGCAAAGGGTGCATGCGCCCTCCAACAAAAAGCTTCGCCCCTTACCCCCCACCCCCCACCCCCTCCTGCACCCACCCCATTCCACCCACACAATGCATATCTACATGTCTGCGTATTTATATAAGATATACATATAAACACACACACACACACACACATATTGTGTACTGCGTATGCATTTACGAAGGTAACTGATGCTGTACACCGCCATCGGTACCCCAACGATTGGCCATCGATCTTGCAGCGGTTCTCTTCTTTGTTACATTACCTGACGCAGCAGCTCCAGTTTGGAAGCCCTTGAAGCGCTCTCGCACGCGGTGGCCAATCACTTGGCAATGATTAGATAACACATGACGCACGTTGATTCACGCCCATCGATGCTGGCGGGATAGACAAGTGCTCGAAATACCACCTTTAACACACTGATCGTTGCCAAGCTGGATGTGTATCGTGTGTGCTCTCTCCCTCTCTCTCTCTCTCTCCCTCTCCCTTTAGATATAGCATTATATCCCTTTCTCTCTCTCTCTCTCTCGCTCTCTCTCTCTCGCTCTCTCTCTCTCTCTCTCTCTCTCTATTCATCTGTCTCTTTATGTGCACGTGTGCGTATAATAATGTATAGGTACGCACGCATAAATATACATGTATGGATTCATATATGTGTATGTGTGTACATACAAATATACATATATACACATATGTATACGTATACATATGTAGTTACTCAAAAGATGCCTGAACAATGTCTACATATGACTGTGCGCGTGCGTGACAGCGCACGTAACAAACCGTGGTCACTCCCTTCATGCAACCCCCTGCTATAAATATATATATATATATATATACATATACATATACATATATACATATATAGAGTCGTACCTTCGCATACACAAACATCGTGCCAGCTGCGCGACGCCGTTGTTTGACCCACTCGGACGGCGGGCGGCGCGAGGATTCACTCTCGGGGTCTGCCGTGGGAGCGGCGGTTGGGAGGGCGTGGTTTTCGAGGGGCCCGTTGCCGCCAATTCTTTCTCCCGTCGAAGTCTCTTGGCCACGGCGGGCACTTGCAGTGTCTGCCGCGCTGCGGGGCGCGGGCGGTCTTTCCCAGCCCGCTTTCCGCGCAACGTTTGCCACAGGTGTCTGCACCGAGTGTAGCTCCGTCGGCAGGGACTGGAGAGTTGTGCGTGGAGGCGGCCCTTGCGTTCAATCCGAGCCCAAAGCCATGTTTGCCAGCGCGGGCCCCAAACAGGGAGTGAGCACCGTGGAGGTGCAAGCCATGTGATGTACGCCACGCGATGTGAGCTGTGTGGTGCAAGCCGTGCTGTGCCAGCTCGATTGTGTAAGTTATGTCGTGTGGGCTATGTGGTGCGAGATATGTGAGGCGAGCTATGTTGTCTGAGATATGCGGTGTACCCTATGCGGTGTACGCGATGCTGTGTAAGCTATGCGGTGTGAGCTATGTGGTGTGACCTACGCGGTGCAACCTACGTGGTGCAAGTCATGTCATGTAAGCTGCGTGGCTTGAGCGGAGTAGTCGGAGCTAGGCTGTGCAATGTATGCAGCGTGTGGTATGTGGTGAAAGCTACGAGGAGGACCCCCCAGGCGGCCACGATGCGGCCACGGGAGGCGACGCGGCGAGACCTCGGCGAAAACCCCCAAGCGGGCGGCTGCGAGGCGGCCACGGGCGGCGACGCGGCGGAACCTCGGCGGGCCCGTTCGCTCCCTCGGTGGCCCGAGCGAGAGCACCTGCGCGCGAGACTTGTTCGGGGAGCGGGTCAGACACCCCAAGTGCAAGCACTGATTTGGGGAGCGAGTGAGAACCTTTTTGATCTGCGGGGCGAGAGCGAACCTCTTCCGCCAAAAGCCAGGCGGGCTGCAGCGAGTGAGAACCCCTGCGGTCAACGCGCCTGGTAAGGACGCGCGCCTTCATCTAGGATACCTTGGTGTCCTTGCCTCTGCGGCCCGTCCTGGGCCGTTTTTCACGGGTCGCCCGCCGCCCGAGAAGCCCAATTTCGACCTTCCAGGGTCTTGCGGCCTTACCACCCGTCCTAAATACACGTTTTGACTGCAAGCGCAAGCACGGAGTGCCCAGACCCCCGACGTCGTGATTTTTTCGCAGCGTCGACCTTTAGAGGTCTGGTCCCCTTCCCCGGGACCGGTTTTGCGTCCTGCGTCATTTTTC